TGTTTGTCACCAGACTGTGGAGCATCCTCCCCTCCCATTCCACCTGCCACTCTCAAAAAAGGCTGGCCCTCTACCCAAAGCTGCTTTCCACCTCAGCAGCTCTGCCTTCCTCTGTCAGCCAACTTCCCCTCCTGTGGGAGATCTGTCTCCCCAGTACCCGATTTCCACCTTTTCTTCCCGTTCCAGCTGTACAGTTCTGATTTCCCCCAGCAGGTTGTCCCTGATATGCTCTCTGGTTCCCACCCAATCCTCTGTGGTTTCCTCTGATGGCACACCCTATCATGGACCTTCTTTTCACCTCTCCCCTTTGGTCCATTATCCATGCTTTCTGCTTCCCTGAGTAGGCCTCTCATAGCATGTGTTCTGTGGTCTTTAGGAGATTTGTTCTTTTCACACTTTGCCCCGCCACCTCAATTCTCTGCTTCCCTGCAACTGAGTCCACTCTTTGATCCCCGTGCTCTGGTCCTGTGACTGTGGTGAGGGTTAGGTTGGGGATCCACTGCCCTGCTCACAACATAACATGCCGTAAAGGAGGGGCAAAAGTGGTGCAGCTGAGCTGTGGGCAAGGCGTTTTCACTCACAGGCCAGGTTGTGGTGGAGGGGGAGTAATGAATTAGGTGCTGGGTTATTTGTGCTTGGCAGGCTAGTGAGGAAATTAAACAAAAATGCATAAGGATGACCATAATATTCTGTTGTCCCCATCTACCAAGCTAAGAGTCTTTGTATCTCCTCCAGTTACATATATGGCTCTACATTCTTCCCTTCAGCATTCAAGTTCCTGCTCTTGGCTGATTTCTTCACCCAACAGCAACAGAACCCAATGTTGCCCAGTTACACACTGAGAAACTATGCGCCCTAGTCAACCTATTGTGACAAGCATCCCTCCCCTGAGTTACCGCTCTTTCGGTGCAGCAACATTTGCAGGATTGGGCCCATAGCAGGCCAAAGAAACAAATATCAGTTCAGCTAACCACCTCCAAACCCACTCAGCCATCGGCAGGACTATTCATCTCACCGCTTTTGTATAATGATGGTTCAGGCACTAGAAGCCCTGCTGGCTTTCACAGCAGTGATGACAAATATTAAAATGAAAGGCTTATGATATTCAATAATCGCCTTCTCCCATCTGCTGAGCTAATTACTAGGAGAACTTTTGTGGGGGGGAGGGGAAGGGATGGAGAAGAGGCTAAACACCACTGAGACAAATAAAAACGATGCCTTCTCCTGTTTCTAGATTAAATTAAAAAGCAGTTGAAATTCCTTCTTGAAAGCATACATAGCCAGTGAAAGCTCAAAGGGTACTTGTGTCACACTGGAACAAACATTTAGATATAAACCATCACTTCTTACTAATATTCGTTATTAAGAGGCTGATGAGTCACAAGTATGAGAGGAATGCGAAAATAACCACGAGGCATTTGCTATGCTGTAGGTCTCTTACCCGAGGTGTCCCACAGACTCAGCTCTATTCTTTGTGTGTCAATTTCAAAACTGGCCGTGTAATTTTCGAACACTGTAGGCACATAATTCTGAATAACGAGAGAGAAAGAGAAAGAAACAAGGACCACGTTAATGTTTTACAAATCCATAATCCCGCCAGGCAGCCTGTCTAACAGCGTTCAGCGCGTTAGAGAACAAGTTGGAGAAACAGGCAGCTCGGTTCGGAAGCGTACTCCCCCCCCCATTTGAATCACTTTTCTTTGCCACTGCAGAACGAGGCATTGGAAATCGCAGTGGCTGCTTTACACGCAGAGGTATGGCTGCACCACTGGAAAAATCCTCTGGCCGGGAGTGAGACACCCGCGGGGAGGTAACAGAGCCGCGCTGGAGGGCTTGCTCCATCTCGGGCCACAGCGCGCGAGCGGGGCGGACGTACCTCTGGGAAGCAGTCCTTCGCAAAGACATGGAGCAGGGCAGTTTTCCCACACTGGCTATCGCCAACCACCACGATTTTACACTTGACGTTTTGGTTAGGATCCATGATCGATTTGCTGGATAATTTCTGGCTCGCTCTTCTCTCCTTCATTGATGGTGCCTTCTTTCCTCTCGCAGCAAAAAACAGGGAGTGCGCCCCGCAGTCAAGAAAGCCACCGAAGGAGCCAGCGAAGCGGGAGCCCGGCGCTCGCTGCTCCAGCACGAGAGAGTTCCCGCTGCACAGCGCGCTGCCAGGTCTAATTCCGAGCCGACTGCTTTGTCTCACGCCTCCTTGCCCCACTTTATACGCCCCGGCTGCCAATCCCGGCCTCGCTCCGCGAGAGACACGGATCCGCCTCTTCCCCTTGTATGGAGCCCTCAGACGGCACACGCTGCCTGCCTCCAGCGACTGCACACAACGCGCCCTCTAGGGGCGCCGCGCCGCACCGCGCGCCAAGCGGCTGAGACCGGGCGGAGAACCAGAGCGCTTTGCCCGGACTCGTCTGTGCGCTCGGGGCAGGGCTCTCCAGGGAGCCCGGACTTGGGGAGAAGGAGCCCCCCCCCAAATAAACAGAGTCGCACAGGGCTGCGGGACGTGCCCCCAGCTGGGTGAGATGAAGAGTCCCTTTCCCTCGCTGCCCTCCCATTTTCTACCCCTCTTTCCTTCGCCCCCAGTGGGCTCCTCCCATTGTCCCCATTGAGGTCGGGGGTATTGCAGGAAGGATCATGAGGGTACAGTGTCGAGGTTGGAGGTGTTGCAGGAAGGATCGGGGATTAGGGTGCCGGGATTAGAGGTGCTGCAGGAAGGGTTGTGTGTGTGTGGGGGGG